TCCAGTCAATTTCTATCTATTAGAGTATTATTAAAATAGATAATAAGAGGGTAAGACATTCATTGTATTAAAGCTTGATATTCTGTTGAGGAAAATTAAATAAATAATTCTCCTGTCTTGATGATTAAAGATATTTAAGAATTACAATTTTTTTCTGAATTATTTACTGTATTTATTATTAATAATATTAATGGTAACGAGAAATAAATTCAAATGATGTTTTCATGTTGCAAGACTCAAATTACTGTTTTAGATCCTCTTATTATTCTAAGCTAATATGCTGGGATATCAAATATAACTCATTACTTATTTATATAACTAGTATTAAGACATAATTAAGTACACCTATGTTGAAAACAACAAAAATATTTTCTGGCATGATAAGAAAACTATGATTATAGTTTCAATCGATGATTATAGTATTAATTTAAAAGAATATTAAAACTAAATTTTATTATAAATTTGAAACCTTTTTCAATTATAACTTTACTTAAAATCCAATAGAACAAATTGTACATATATGAATTATTTCTGGTTATAATGTATCATTTTATTTCATATTAAAATCAATTCTATTAACCTTTTGTTAAATTCCTTCTGTATACATTCGTGAATTAATTTAATTATTTCAAATAAAACAATATTTGTATATTTGTAATTAAATATAAATCAAAAGCATCAAGGAAAGTATATAAATTAAAAAACCTTATTTAATATTAAAAAATAATCATATTATTGATCTAATATCAATAAACGTTATATTTATGTAAAATTTTAAGAACTTGTATAATATTGATTACAATTTTATAAAATAAAATATGTTATTAATAATAATATTATGTAGTTAGTAATTTTTATTATATAATTTTTAATAAACTAAATTTTATTATTTATTATTTATATATGATTTAGATCCTGTATATAGATAAAATTAGATAGTTTTTTAGTTGCAACTTATTATTTCTATTGATAAATACTTATCATCATGTTTTTATATTCATCTGAATTTTTTATTATTAGTGGCTTGAATTCAAAAAATCATTTTATTAAAAAAAATTATTTAATGAGTTAATAGAAATTGTTTATGTATTAACACATAAAACATGAAGGTGAAGGTATAAAGATTTTGTTTAAATTTGAGTTGCTAAGATTTAAGATCTTAGTTCTGTCTTTAATGTACAGCTAATCCAACGAAAGATAACAATTGTAAGAAAGACTTAAAAGGATTTGGTTAAATTTAAAGTTTTGGTACCAAATTCAATTAACATAAATGTGAGTTAACAAATGAAGTGAATAAATACTTTGGATAAGTCAAAATAAAATATGAAAATTTTCAAAATAATTGTAGAACATGAAAAAATAATTATTTAAACTATCTGAATGTTTAAATTAATAAGATTATCAATAAATGAAGGATAATTTACAGTTGATTAAGGAGTGGTATCAATATTAGAATAATAATAAAGAGAAGATTATATCACTCTTATATTTAGAAGCTACTTTTTAAAAATATAATTATTTAATTATTTATAACTATTTGTATGAAATGAATAAAATAATGGTTATATCATTTCATATATCTATTTTTAATTAATTCTCTCTCGAAATTTTTTTTCTTTAAATTTGAAAAATAAATTCATAAATTAAACAGTTTCTCTATAATGATAAATATTAATAAATTTAGACAATTTATTGATCATTAATATATATAATTAATTATGAATAAAATTGATGTTGAATTCAATAACCTCTGATGAATATCAATTATTATATTTATATTATAAATTCAATCAAAACTTTTAATTACTTCTACATATTTACTAGTTTTACAATTCAGGATAGCCTTGGTATATTTCGATATATGGTTACTTATTTTGTATTCAGTTCTTCATACTTCTAAATAACTTTTCATACTCTCATAATTGGGAAGAGTATCATAAAGTCTGATATTAAAATTCCTTACATTCTTGCATTTTTTTAAATAATTCGCATATTTAAGATGTACATTACTCATATTCTCCTAGAACTTTTTTACATAGATACCACTGCTATTTCAACTCTATTTTTCTAAAATATTTTTAATATTTACCTTGTAATAAAATCGAATTCAAATAGGATAATTAGTTATTTTAGTACTTAGTAGATTTTTTTATGTCTTTAAGATTCTTGATATTTGTACTTTTCAGGGAGTGCTTCAATTTAAGAAATTATAAGAATAATCACAAGATATTTTTTAAGCGACCCAGACTTGATTCAAATAAAAGACATTCAAGTAATTATACTAAATTGCTATTAAAATTTATATCATCTGTTACTTGTATTAAATATAGGATATAGAATACTATATTGATATGGAATTTAGAATATATTCCAGCAATAACCATACTTTCATAAACCATAATTATATTGGATATTTATTTAAAGTCCATTATTTTTATATTATTTAAAATCTAATTTCTTTATTTTATCAAGAAAATTCTATATTATGATTTCACTATTTAAAATTATGTATATTTTTTTCTTGATTTATTCAGATAGATAATAATAAAATAGTGTGAATACTCACCAGCAAAGGAACAGTTTTGCAAAACTTATAATTATTTCTATATTATTTTAGCCCTATTAAAAAGTTTATAATTATTTTAACAAAATGGATATTGAAGAACATTTTAATTAAAAAATATGAAGTATATAGAGAGATAAATTTTTCGTTTTCGTTAAGAGAAAATAATGTTAGATTTGAAATTTTCTGTAATGAATACAAGAATATAATTCTTAATAGGTTTCTTTATTTAATTAAATTATTATTAATATCATAATCTTAAGCTACTTAGAATCAATTATATATATATATATGCTTAATAAAATAGTTAGATTAATAACTTAATAACTTTATTTTTTTTTGAAGATGTTATTAATTATAATATCAATTAGATTTATTGATTAATTCTCATATTTTATTTTTCAATCATGAATAACTATAATTTAAGAATCAGATTTATGTAGATCAATTAAAAAACATGATATGTATCTATAATATAAATTTTAAAATATGCAAATTTCATCCATTTATATTTACATTTAATTTAACAAATTTTGATATCTAAGATGAAGCAAATGTAAATTTTTTTGATTTCAAAAAATAAATTCTATTTATATATTTAACTCAGATATCTATGCAAAATTTGACTCATAAATCAGATCTAAAAAGGCTAAACTTTTAAGATTGATATAGGACCATTATTAAATGAATTACCCAAAGATTGAATCCTAATTTTTTACACTTATCGATCGGAAAAGTTTATTTATATCATTCCATTAGCATATCCTTCAAATATTTATATCTCATCACTGGAATCTTTGTAACTAGTGAAAACTATAAAATTATGAACTCTAACGTTGTAATCCCAAAACCTAATAAGTATAGAATTGATCTAATAGGCCTATATTAATTGATCACCCCTAACATGACCATATGAATGAACTGTTTCAAATTAAAGTTTTTCTCTTAAAGGGTTTTAAGTCTCCAACACCACAAAAATAAAGTAAGCGGGCATTCTCTATCAAACCACCATTTATTTCTGATACTATAAATAAAGTCATATTCACACATTATACATCACTGTAATAACCTCTTATCAGTTAACTGGATCTATATTATTAACCATTAGATGTTAAAGAAAAATCAAATACAATTATGAAAATAAAGAGGATCAAAGTATTCAAAATAAAAAATAGATTATTGAATATATTTTTTAATTTTCTAAGGTATTTTTATCAAAACAACATAGAAGTATTGTTTCAATTGACAAATGAATAAAACTAAAAATTAACAAAAAACAATTATCAAATTATTAAGTTTATAAGAAATCAATTTACAATTATTTCAATTAAATTAAGATTCTTATATTTTCAAAAATTATGTTATGATATTTAAATAAAACAATAAACATATTTATAAATGTTTTAATTTTTATTAGAAAATATAATAGAAAGAATTACTTATGGGAAAATGGAATTATTGTTGCTTTCTTCGTGTAAATTAAAAATTCAATTTTAAGCAAACACAGAATTACATTTGATAACAATTTAGAATTAACATTTAAACATTAAGAAATTGCAAATTCTAAATATGATGAGTATTAGAAGTTTATAAATTGAAATAACAAAATATGAACATTTCAGAATCTCAAAAGAAATTATATAGAAATCAATTTTAATGTTAATGTTCAATTACTTTTATATTACTTTTATTTGAAATCATTAACAAGTTTTTAATGATGTAAACTTTAGTTTATAATTGAGTTTCAAAATTTATAAATCACTTAATAGTATTGAATATCTAAAGTTCTATATTTTATATAATGTACTATTTGATTATGTAATCCAGTTATAAATGATTTTGTTCTAAATTATATCAAATCTAAACTTTTATATCAATTAATGGTTGTATTTAAATTATGATGTAGAAATAACCTAATTTTATTATATAAACAAATGTATAAGATTTAAGAATTAGTTATTGCTTAGATACTTTTCAACAATTTTATAAAGAAATAATTCAAAAATAGTTCTACTTTTTAAACCTTTTGTGATAAGCTTAATTTAATAGAGTTAATATTACTATCCAATTTATTGTTCACTTGTTTTATCTTTTTTATTGCTGTATAATTCCCTTTTCGAATTTTAATTCTTATCTATAGTCAGGTCTATTAATCTTAGATTCATTATTCAGAAATTCATGGCTTTATATGACTTAATTTATTTATTAACAATAGTT